ACCGGCGCGCCAAGGCCAGCGCCTCCCCACCAAGGTCGGACTTTGCACAGCACCAATTAACCAGCAGCTCCCGCTCCCCGACAGCTTCCCGCAGCAATCCCGTGTTTGCCCGGAGCAAGCAAAGCTGGGAGCGCTCCAGCTGCGAGCGCGGCAGCAGCCCGAGCTTCTTCATCCCGCCCCGGGGAGCGGGAAAGCAAGGCTACAACGCTCCTCGCGCAGGTGGGGAAACCCGGGCAAAAGCAATTGCCCCAGGCCAGGGACAAGCAGCAGCAGCAGCGCAAGTGGCGAAAGGACTCGCAGGGATTCGCTCGGCTGAGAAGCGCCCCGGTGCCCTGCAGGGCAGAGGGGACGCCGCAGCCGATGCTCGCGGGAAGACGGGAGCAGCACTCACTGTCCTTGAAGGAGCCGCCACGCTTCTGCACCCGCTTCCGCCCAAAGGTTCTCTGCCAGAAGAAGAAGAAGCAGAGAACGCGCTGCAGTTACTGTATTTCTGCGGCCCTGGGAAGCATTTAGCTCCTTCAGGAAGGAGGAGAAGGTACCTGCACGGCCAGGCAGCAAGTACCACCCTGTTCTTACAGCCCGATTTTCGCCTGAGCTTTTGTTTGCCTTACCGAAGTGACTCAGCTTTCACCTTGCGGTATCGGGGTCACGATCTAAACCATTTTGTAGTTACGCCGCTGCCTTTCACATCTCTGTCTCACACCCGGACTTTGCCTGCACCGGCGTCTCCTTCTCCCCAGACCTGCTTCTCCCATGTTTGTGTACAACCAACCGCCACCTCGGGGCCGCGCTCCCGACCAACCCCACCCTGCAAACATGCCCGCAGCCGCCCGCCGACAAGCGGGAGCCCCAGAGCAGCCAGTTACACTCCTCACGAAAGCCACGTCGGCTATTTCCAGGTTCTCCGGGGACCTCCAGCATCTGCTGGGGACATGCAGGCTTCCCAAGGCACGAGTCAGGTCCCCAGGCTCAGCAAAGCCCTGCCAGCTCCACACCAGGCTCGCGCAGCTCTGTGACCGACAGGAGTCGCAGGAAAATGGCTCTGCAGACCCCCCGGCAGCAGCTCATCAGCAGGA